GTTGCTGCGGCCAAGGTCACAGAGCTTGCTGACTGTGTTCTCCTCTAGGATTTTGATGGATTCGTGTCTCACATTTAAGTCCCTCATTCATTTTGAGTCTGTTTTTGTGTGTGGTGTAAGAAAATGGTCCAGTTTCATTCTTTTACATGTGGCTGTCCAATTTTCCCAGCACCATTTATTGAAGTGACTGTCCTTTTTCCATTGGGTATTCTTTCCCGCTTTGTTGAAGATTAGTTGACCATAGAGTTGGAGGTCCATTTCTGGGTTCTCTATTCTGCTCCATTGATCTATGTGTCTGTTTTTTGCCAGTACCATGCTGTCTTCATGATCACAGCTTTGTAATACAGCTTGAAGTCCGGAATTGTGATGCCACCAGCTTTGGTTTTCTTTTTCAATGTTCCTTTGGCTATTCGGGGTCTCTTCTGGTTCCATACAAATTTTAGGATTATGTGTTCCAGCTCTGTGAAAAATACTGATGGTAGTTTGATAGGGATTGCATTGAATGTGTAGACTGCTCTTGGTGGTATAGACATTTTTACAATATTTTTTCTTCCAATCCATGAGCATGGAATGTTTTTCATTTCTTTGGGTCTTCCTCAATTTCTTACATAAGTGTTCTGTAATTTTTATTTTTTTTTAATTTTTTAAGATTTTTGTTTTATTTATTTGAGAGAGAGAACACAAGAGGGGGGAGGGTCAGAGGGAGAAGCAGACTCCCTGCCGAGCAGGGAGCCTGATGCAGGACTCGATCCTGGGACTCTGGGATCATGACCTGAGCTGAAGGCAGTCACCCAACCAACTGAGCCACCCAGGTGCCCATTGTTCTGTAGTTTTTAGAGTACAGATCTTTTACAACTCTTTGGTTAGGTTTATTCCTAAGTATCTTATGGTTTTTGGTGCAATTGTAAATAGGATCAACTCCGCAATTTCTCTTTCTTCTATCTCATTGTTAGTGTATAGAAATGCATCTGATTTCTGTGTGTTGATTTTACATCCTGCCATGTTGCTGAATTCCTGCATGAGTTCTAGCAATTTTTGGGGTGGAGTCTTGGGTTTTCCACATAAAGGATCATGTCATCTGCAAAGAATGAGAGTTTGACTTTTTCTTTGCCAATTTGAATGCCTTTTATTTCTTTTTGTTTTCTGATTGCTGAGGCTAGGACTTCTAGTGCTATGCTGAACAACAGTGGTGAGAGTGGGCATCTCTGTTGTGTTCCTGACCTTAGGGGAAAAGCTCTCAGTTTTTCCCCATTGAGAATGATATTTGCTCTGGGCTTTTGTAGATGACTTCTATGATATTGAGGTATGTTTCCTCTATCCCTACCCTGTGGAGAGTTTGTGTGTGTTAAAAGGAACTTTACTGGGTGTCGGGTTTTGTGTGTGGGTGTGTGTGTATGTATGAGTGGAGAGTTTTAATCAAGAAAGGATGCTGTATTTTGTCAAATGCTTTTTCTGCATCAATTGAGGGGATCATATGGTTCTTGTCCTTTCTTTTATTAATGTGATGTATCACATTGATTGATTTGTGAATGTTGAACCATCCCTGCAGCTCAGGAGTAAATCCCACTTGGTCATGGTGAATAATCCTTTTAATGTACTGTTGGATCCTTTTGGCTAGCATCTTGGTGAGAATTTTGGCATCCATGTTCATCGGGGATATTGGTCTGTTACTCTCCTTTTTGATGGGGTCTTTGGTTTTGGGATCAACGTAATGCTAGCCTCATAGAATGAGTTTGGAAGTTTTCCTTCCATTTCTATTTTTTGAAAGAGCTTCTGAAGAATAGGTATTAGTTCTTTAAATGTTTGGTAGAATTCCCCTGGGAAGCCATCTGGTCCTGGACTCTTGTGTGTAGGGAGACTGTTGATTACTGCTTCAATATCCTTGCTGGTTATGGGTCTGTTCAGGTTTTCTATTTCTTCCTGTTTCAGTTTTGGTAGTTTATAAGTTTACAGGAATGCGTCGATTTCTTCCAGATTGTCTAATTTGTTGGCATACAGTTGCTCATAATATGTTCTAAAAATTGTTTCGATTTCCTTGCTGTTGGTCATGATCTCTTCTCTTTCATTCATGATTTTGTTAATTTGGGTCCTTTCTCTTTTCTTTTGGATAACTCTGGCTAGGGGTTTATTGATCTTACTACTTTCAAAGAACCAGCTTCTAGTTTTATTGATCTGTTCTACTATTCTTATCAAACTCAACACCCAAAAAACAAATAATCCAGTCAAGAAATGGGCAGAAGATATGAACAGACATTTCTCCAAAGAAGACATACAAATGGCCAACAGACACATGAAAAAATGCTCCACATCACTTGGTATCAGGGAAACACAAATCAAAACCACAATGAGATACCACCTCACAGCAGTCAGAATGACTAAAATTAACAAGACAGGAAACAACATATTTTGGCGAGAATGCAGAGAAAGGGGAACCCTCTTACAGTGTTAGTGGGAATGCAAAGTGGTACAGCCGTTCAGGAAAACAGTATGGAGGTTCCTTAAAAAGTTGAAAGTAGAGCTACCCTGTGACCCAGCAATTGCACTACTAGGTATTTACTCCAAAGATACAAATGTAGTAATCCAAAGGAGCCCCTGCACACCAATGTTCATAGGAGCAATGTCCACAATAACCAAACTGTGGAAAGAGCTGAGCTGTCCATCGACAGACAAATGGATAAAGAAGATGTGGTATATATATATATACACATATATATATATATATATACACACACACATATATATATATATATATATACACAATGGAATATTACTCAACCATACGTACTATATGCATATTCTACCTAAATGTGGAGGAGTAAATACGTACCATTTACATCGACATGGATGAAACTGGAGGGTATTATGCTGAGTGAAATAAGTCAATCAGAGAAAGACAATTATCATATGGTTTCACTCATATGTGGAATTTAAGAAATAGCACAGAGAATCATAGAAGAAGAGAGAGAAAACTGAATGGGAAGTCATCAGAGAGGGAGAAAAACCATGAAAAGCTCTTAACTATAGGAAACAAACTGAGGGTTTCTGGAGGGGGAGATGGGTGGGGGAATGGGGCAATTAGGTGATGGGCATTAAGGAGGGCATGTGATATTATGAGCACTGGGTGTTATATGCAACTGATAAATTATTGAACACTACATCTGAAACTAATGATGTACTATATGTTGGCTAATTGAATTTAAAATTAAAAAAAGATTTACAATTTTAAAAACTCTCTGAGCATCAAAGTCAAATTGCTTTATGTCCTTTATCACATAGGTCACAGTAATTTGTGTTCATTTAGGCATAATACCAATGCTGGTTGAGGTGTAAAACCACATAGATACAGATAGATATCTATACATCTATATCTTTTGTGCCTTTAATACAAGCAGTAGCAAACACATTCATTGAAAACCATAGCAGAATATTCTACCTAAATGTGGAGGAGTAAAGCTAAGATCATAAAATCTCTGAGTTCAAACACCTAATAAAACTAATATCAATTAGAAACACAAGCAAAAGAAATTAATTGGCAGTAACTTAATCATACACCCCTACACCATACACTTCAAAAGTGTTAACCTGTGAAAAGCATCAATGCGGGTCACAATGGTTTGCCTTCAGATCCTTCTCCCTTTGACTGCCTCTTGTCTCCCCTGACATGTATATTTTGAGCTTGAAGTTGTTATCAGAAAAGCACAATCCCTTCTGGAAGAGATTGTCACAGACTTCCTTTACATCACTGGTCAGATGTGGCTGCATGAAGACTGGGGAAGGGTGGGGGACACAGTCCTGTGCTTGGCTTCGACATATCCTGAGCCTCTGTCTGGGACGAGGTGCATCATCTTCAGAATCAAATTGAGATTCTTTTACTAAAGGGGTGGTTGTGTGTATCATGTATGTGACTCTGTATCTATCACACCTACTTTCTCCTAATTAAAGGAGAAGACTAAGGTGGTACGTTTATCCCTTCCCTCTTCCTACTAGAGAAAGTCAGAATGGCTGTTGCAGGGAGATGGAGAATGTTGGAGAAATAAACAACTAAGATTCAATTATAGAAACACAGAGCTTATGGTTCCACATGGAATTGGAAGAATACGCTAAACAATATATATTTCTGTGGCGAGCTGAAAATTGAACCACCGCTTGCCAAAGATATCCACATCCTAACCCTTGGACACAGATATGTCAAAAAGGAAAAGATCTTGGTAGATGTGATTAAGTTAAGAATGTTGAGATGGTATTGTATTATTCAGGTGGGCTCTAAATGCCCTAAGTCTTAAATCTTCCTAAGAGTGAGGCAGAGGGAGAACACACACACACACACACACACACACACACACACACAGAAGTGAAGAAGGTATTGTGACAACTGAGGCAGAGATGTGGGCATAAGCCAAGGTATGCTGAGAGCCACCAGAAGCTGAGAGAGGCACGGTGAACTTTGCTGACGCATTCATGAAAGCACTCTGAAATGAATCAACAGGATTTGCCCAGACACATGTAAGATATCATGTGTTATATCAGTAATGAAGAATAAAATCATTAATTTATGTTTTATAAATTATTTCCCACTTTCTATCTTAGGAAATTTACTTTCATTGTACCGAGAATATGCTTCTATATTATGACATTATGCTGATAATAAGAAAAAAATAAAAAAAAAAAACTCTTGTAAAGACAAATGCTTTCTTAGTTAAGCAGATAAGCCTTAGGCTAATAGGATGCTTAACACAGATGAATAATGCCTTGTGATCATTTGTGCAACATGGCACTTTAAAGTCACTTATTAAATGTTCATAGCCCCTTAATATATACTTTATGTCTGTAGGTTTACCCTCACTTCATGAATGAAAAAAAATTGAAAATCTCCCTCTCCCTCTGCCTGCCGCTCTGCCTACTTGTGCTCTGTCAAATAAATAAATAAATAATCTTTAGAAATAAATAAGTAAATAAATAAAAAGAAAAACATAGTAGTTCCCCTTTATCTGCAGTTTCCGTTACCCGAGGTCAACCGTGGTCCAGAAGGAAACGATCCTTCTCACATACTGTCAGCAGCAGCCTACTGCTACATCACGGCGTCTGTGGCCCTCAGCTCCCTTCTCTCGTCACGTAGGCACGTTACCATCCTACATCACCACAGAAGGAGAGTGAGTGCAGTACGGTAAGATATTCAGGTATTTAGACAGAGAGACCACATGTAACTTTCAGTACAGCATATTGTAATTGTTCTATTTTGTTGTCAGTTGTTAATCTCTTACTGTGCCTAATTCATAAGTTATACTTTTTCATAGGTATGTATAGGAAAAAACATAGTATACATAGGGCTCAGTTCTGTCTGCAGTTTCAGGCATCCACTGGGGGTGTCCCTGCAGATAAGGGGGGAACTACTCTATTTTAATACAACATCACATCTATATACTTAAATAAATATGATTAATTATTCCGGCATCCCTCTGAGTGTCTAAGGATTTTTGAAAAGTGTATTGTCCACTGTCCTCTAGGATTCTCACCCATTTCCTAATTTCCAAGTACACACAAATCACTGAGTCTAAGCTTCTTACAGATACATGTGTCGGAAGGATAATGTGTTGAGGGAGCAGACAAAAGTCCAGGAAATACGGATTTCTTTCTTATGGAAAAGAATAGAAACTATAAAACTAATTTTTGTTTTGTTTGTTACATAGTTTTGAGAGTCATATTACACAGTTTGGCTACTGAATGGAATTCACCTAGAGTTGGCATCTTTATATGATACTCAGGAATGTGTATCAGCTTAGGACAGACCCTCTCATGGTTAAAATTCAGGCTTCTGTTAGAGTTTTAGAAGAGCTGAAGCTTGTTTGTAGCATTACCATTCCTCACAGTCTGTGGGGCTTTTTCCTTCATGGTGACCGATGATTATCTGCTCCTTCTCTTATTCCTTCTCCCACAAATACTCTCTCCATTCAGGATCTTTGAATTATGCATATTTATTTATGCAGAAACTATAATTTGGTGAGTTTACTCTAATTTACTGGTAACAGTCATTATGTAACCTTCTGCTATAGATCATTGACTTTAACACGCTAACAAAGACTTCAATTAAAAGAATGTAGCTCTAAGAGAGAAATCTCAGGTTTTAGTGAAGGGATTTGGAGATGGGTAAGAGATTAATGAATTTCCCTACATCCTGGGAATAAGGAACTCCTACTGGACGTGTGTACCTAAAGCCAATATCAGTCCTACAACCTGGGGCACATAAGACTGTTTTGTGATAATACAGTAAAGAAATTATTTTACTCCAAGGACATTTGTTTTATCTCATGAAAAGATATGGATCATTAAACCATGTCAAGGATTTTAAGTCTCTCAACTTCATATTATATCATTTCTTTCTTTTTTTAAATTTTATTTATTTGTCAGAGAGAGAGAGAGAGCACAAGCGGGGGGAGTGGCAGGCAGAGGGAGAAGCAGAGTCCCTGTTGAGCAGGGAGCCCAATGCCGGACTCGATCCCAGGACCCTGGGATCATGACCTGAGCCGAAGGCAGACGCTTAACTGACTGAGCCATCCAGGCACCCCAAGGACCACTATGTTTTTAATCTAGTGTATTTTGAAACAAGCAAACATATGGTCTGCCTTGACTATATATTGTTGCTTTAGCAGACTCTGCCTTTAAAAGTATTTGATATCTTTAGTCCTATGCACTCCCAGTTTATGTCAAAGAATACATAGCTATAAAAGGGATTTTATATTTATATTTATGGATAAATTTATAGAATCCTATTTAGATATAAAGATAGATGACAGTATTCATCAGTTGATATTCAAAATGAGCACATACTTTCTATGTGGTCCTATAGGTTCTATTACATTGCCAATTATCTGCAAACCAGTGAAGCAGTTTGGATGTTTCTAATTATTATTCCTTGGGAATCTGTACTTTAAACTGTTCAGAGAAATGATTGCCTGACTGAAAGTCAGAAGACTTCAAGCATAAAACTGCTGAAGTGACCAAGAGTCAATGGAATATTCTAAATGGGTTTGTGTGCTGGTCCAACCATAAAGAGGACTGCGGAGGGCACTCAGCTCTTAGTAGTGGAGGGAGGCAAATGTGGAGCAAGGACAGGATTGAACTCCCCGGGCGCACTGAGTGCAGGGTAAAGGTTATGCTCTGGATCAAAATGTTTATGAAGTCAATGAGGAACCTTACTAATCCTAGTGGGAAGGAACCTAAGGATGGAAAATTAGAGACGAGAGTGAAGAATTTATGTTAAAGAGACCATTGGTGATTTTGGCAGACTGAAAGCACTTGGGTTGGAGAGAAAAACCAGAGATAGTAGACACAGAACTGTGATGTTTTTTTCTTCCATGCTTACTGAGATATAACTGACATAAGATACAACAGTGTGTAAGGGTAAGGTGTGCAACATATGATTTGATACACTTGCATATTGCAATATGATTAACACTGTAGGGTTATTTATATATTGTGATACAATAATCTCTATCACATAATTATCAAGTCTTTGGGGGGGATGAGAACACTTAAGATCTATTCTCAGCAATTTTCAGGTATACAATACAGTACTGTGAACTCTGATCACAATGCTGGGCATTGGATCCCCAAAACGTACTTATCTTCTTACTGGAAGTTTGTACCTTTTTACTAACATCTCCCTAATTCTCCCCCTGTCCCCCAAATTCTGGTAGCCACCTTTCTACCTTTCTACTCTGTTTCTATGAGTTTGGCTATTTTAGATTCCACATATAGTTTATTCTTATCTAGAAGGCACAGTCCTCTAATAGACTATATCAGAACTTCTCAGTGCAGGAGGAAAAGGAATAAAAGACTCCATGTGCATTGATAAATAATATTGAATAAAATTTCATGTGAGAACAAGCTGAGTACAGTTGATATGGAGAATATATTTGACAAGCTCAGAAATTCAGGCACTAAATGAGATGAGTAATAGAATGAGATGAGTAATAGAGAAAATGTATACATGAAATAATTATGTTGAGCAGAGCAACATTGATGATATTGGCCTCTTAGCTTCTTCTGAGCAAACATTGCCGATATGTTTTTCAGTGAGTGTGAAATGCACTAGAAGGATCTATATAAATTCCCTCACGTTACAGTGGATTTATTGTTATTAACGGTCCAAACAGGAATAGAGTTCATTTGAACTCCCATTTGCTACTGAGTGAGACAGCCAATCTATTTTAAACTATGTTATGATTGAGTGGTCACAGCTGGGAGAACAGATTAGGCATTACTTCAACGTGGAAAATAAAAAAACTCATTACCTTAATTTTCTGTTAACAGGCCTTTTGAGCCCTTTTAACCAGCACTAGGTTGTGATGGTGGTGACCAAAGGTAATGGTGGACTGGGTGAGAATTCTGACCTTTCTCAAGCGTCTAACACAGTTTTTCTGCCATAGAACTCGATCCAAAAGCTTTTAGGAGCTTGGAAGGGCAGAGATCATTTTTAACATCCAAGACTTGAAATGGAAGCATCTCCTTGGCCTTCCTGAAGACTCTAACTTTTCTTCCAGTGATCTTTGCTGCTTGAGTCTTTTGACTGTTTTAGTCATTTGCCGTGTATTCTTTTGTGAGGATTGTGCTGTGGCTCATTCAGCCTTTGAGCCCAAGTCATTTATTTTGATGCCTCATCATGTCATAACAAAAACTACAGCAAATACTTTTTTTTTTACTTTTTAAACCCCAAGTTTATTCTGCATTTTACATGCAAATGATGTAAACATATTCGAGACTGAAAAGCCCAATTCTGTCTTTTTCTTTCTTCTCTCTCTTCTGCCTCATAGGAAATGGAGAAATATTTCATGGAACAAGACTGAAGCTTAAAATATGTGCTCTTTTTGATTAAACATTCTTCCTGGTTTGACTGGAATGTATGCTACTGATCTTCAAAATAATTGAGTAAACTGAGAGATTAAGATGTGTTCTTAGTGTCATCTACACATTCTATATCTGGTCCTACACTGTAAATGTGGTTTATAGGACTCCCTGGGAGTGGTTCAAAGAGAGTAATTTTTCTTAAAAGATCACTCAGGTAAAGGAGATCAAGAAAGCTTAAGTAAAATCTTAAAGGATTTTCTTTAGAATATGGACATTAGTGTTTACCTAAGGGAAATCAGAAAGATATATCCCAATATAAGCAAATTCACTGTCCTGCTGTTTGGGTTAAGCTGAAGGTCAGCTGCATAAGCTTTGTGTATACAAAATATGTATTTCTTTTATGCAAGGCCAAATTGCATTTATGATCCTTGACCTAGATCATCAGCAGAAGAGAAAGGCTTTACTGCAAATTAAAAAAATAAAAATAGCACTTTGTTTAGCCCTTGGCTTATCAACTGTAAAACTGTTGGGTTGGTGGAGTTGAGCAGAGCATGAGCACGTGCCCAGATGTTGATATAAAAAAATGTAGACTCCAAAGTCTAAAAATGGCCCTTAGGTCTTATTAACTTCAATGACCCTAGGTAGGAGTGGTAGCTTCAGTGTTTGAAGACTATCAAAGAGACGATCAATACTGTCCCCTTGTTCTGGAGCCTTCACAGGTTTTTAGAATGGTCTTGTCAGACTCATCACATTCAGGTTCTTCAGTGCTGGTCCTCAAGGATCTCCATTAACTGTTCCCACTTGTTACCTGTGCACTTTCTCTCTCTCTCTCTAGACTGTCAGGCAGGCGGCAATAATGTCATTCCCTGGTACTCTGCTCATTTCTGCCTCTGTGATCTTTAATAATATCCTCCATGTCTTGAATGAATTTTCCGTTTTCTGTTCCACTAAAGAAGTCATAGTGATACTTTACTCACCTAAAAATTGGAGTTAGCGCAGCCAGCAAAACTAACAAAATGGGCCATAAATAAAACAGAGTCCTGGCAGAGCTTACATTCATTTAAGGTTGAGCTTATGACACCATGGAATTCTTCTGAACCAAAAACTGCTTTTTTTCTGTATGTAACTTATATTATTGTGTTTGAAATGTTTCCTTAGTACTTCATTGACATATATTCAAAGGTTATTTAACAAAATGAGTTTTAAAACTCATTCAACTTTAAAAAATGGTATCATTACCAGTGATAGCATCTATTAAAATTTCATCTCCATGACTGAAAGGAGATCATTAAACTTCCACAATGAACTATGATTTTCAAA